AAATGAATAATAAAGAGAAGATGGAAGAAAACATAATTAAGTAATAAGAGAGAGAGAGAGAGAGAGAGAGAGAGAGAGAGAGAGAGAGAGAGAGAGAGAGAGAGAGAGAGAGAGCGAGAGAGCGAGAGAATGATAAAGAAAAGAAGAGTGGAATAAACAAAAGTTGAAATAATAAAAACTCGAAATATTAGAAAATGAAAGAGAAAACGAAATATGAAAGGATACAAAAGAAAAAGCGGGATGAAAAAAAGAAATGAAAGATGAGAAAAAGCGAAATAGTAACGAAAAGAAAAATGAAACAGATATGAAAATGAAACCTTAAGGAGAAAATAAGAAAGGAAAAATAAAAGCAAATTGAAAAGATGAAAGGGTAAAATTAAATGGAGAAAAAATAAAAAGTAAAATGAAAGGATATAAAAGACAGGAAGAACGAAAAATGAAATGAAAAATAAAAATGAAAAAGAAAAGTAAGATGAAAGAATAAAATGAAATGAAGAAGGAAAAAAGCAAAGAGTATAAAATGAAAAGAAAAACAAAAAAGAAAAGTAAAATGAAAGGGTATAAAATAAAGAAAGAACGAAAAAAGAAAAAGGATAAAAAATAGATAAAAAAGAAAAGAAGACCAAAAAGTAAAAGTAAAATGATAGTGTATAAAAGAAAAGAAGAATGAAAAAGATAAAAACAAAGAAAGAATTAAAAAGGAAAAATAAATTAAAAGAGTATAAAAGAAAAAAAAGAAATGGATAAAAACAAATGAACAATAACGTAAATTAATTTAAAAGTGTATAAAAAAAGGAAAACCGTAAAAAGATAAGAACGATGAAAAGATGAAAAAATCGAAATCGTTGAAAATAAATAACGAAACGAAAGATGGAAAGATAAAAAGGGAAAAGAAGAACGAAAAGAATAGAAAAATAAGATTCAAAGAAAGGAAAAACGACAAAAGAAACGAAAGATAAAAGGATATAAAATATAAATATCACAGAAAAGAAAAAAAAATACAAAAAGAAAGAAATATGAACAGATAAAAAAGAAAATAAAGAAGAGAAGGAAATAAAATAAAAAGTAAACAGATGTTGAAAATAAAGATGAAAAAAATAAGAAAAGAAAAATGATAGAACAGATCAAAATAGCTTTTAAAAAAGAAATAAAGAACGACGAGAAGAAATTCGTATAAAGAAGAAGAAAAAAATAAAAAAAACATGTTATGAAATGAAGCAAGGAAACAAAACGGCCAAACAAAAATGGGAAGGATAAAACGGAAAGCGAAAGAAGAAAAAATAAGACAGAAAATTGGGAAGGCAAAATAAGAAAGGAAAAACAAAAAACTGAAACGAAAGGCGGAAAGAAACATCAAGTAGGATTAAAAAAAATGAAAAAAAATCATTTAATTTGAATCGTACAAGAACGTTGACTGATATTGAGGAAAGAAAAATAACTCCTCCGTTTGCAAGAATAAAATGCTAAAAAATTACAAATTTGGCAGTTTATAACGAAAACAGAACCATTTGCTGCCAGTAGGAAAAGGCGTGCAGTGCATGAAGGGATTTTTCTTTTGGTTTTAAATCTTCATCGGTTTTTGTACAGAAATTTCGGCCAATTGCGTGTTTAGTTAAGTGTTTGGAGTAGAAGAAAGAAGATTGTGTATAGTTTGATGAGAAAAAAAAGAAAAGAAAGAAGGCAGTGTGTATTTTTAAGTTAGCAGATACAGCCGCAAAAACACATTTGCCAATAAAAGTAAAAAAAAAGAAACAAAATTCTGAAAACTGCAAAGGTTTCAAATTCCATGTAGATATGGCAGAAAAAAACTCGTCGAAGCAAAATATCACAAGATCCGTGTAAGCATAAGGTATGTGTAAAAACCTAGAATACGAAGTACAGGAGTTGATGGCAGAAAAAAAAAGAGAGAGTGTAAGGGAGAGAGTGGTAGAAGAAGAAAGAGGGGGGAGAGAGAGAGAGAGAGTGAGAGAGAGAGAGAGAGAGAGAGCGAGGGCGAAAAGGGAAACGTAGAAAGAGAGAGAGAGGGGTAAGAGAGAAAAACAAATAGATAGAAAGTGTCATGGGAGAAACAGAGATATAGAGAGTGAGAGAGGAAGAGGCAGAAAGAGCAAGAGAGAGGAAACATAAAGAAAGGGAATAAGAAAGAAAGTGGTAGAAGAAGGGAGAGAGAGAAATAGTGAGAGGAGAGAAGAGAGATAAAGAGGGAAATAGAAAGATAAATAAAGAGGCTAGAGAGAAAAAAGAAAGAAACAGAAGAATTGAAAGAGAGAGAGAGAGAGATAAATGGGAAAGAGTAAATAAAAAAAGAGGAGAAATAGAGAGAGCAAGAAAGAGAGAGAGAAAACCCAAAAGAAAGATGGGGAATGAGAAAGAAAGTTAGAGATGAAGGGAGAAAGAGAAATAGTGAGATCGGAGCGAACGAGAGCGGGAAGAGAGAAAGAGAAGTGAGAGAATTGGGTGGGGACAAAAAAAGAGAAAGAAAGAGAGGGAAAGAAAGAGGGAAAAGAGTAGAAAGAGAGAGTAATAGATAAAGAGAGAGCGAGAGAGAAGGGGAGAAAGCGAGAGAGAAATGAAGAGAAAAATGTCGACAGAGAAAAGAAGCAGATTCAGATAAACATTGAAAGAAAAATGAAGATAGAAAGAGAGATGTGTGGTGACTATGATGAGATTGATTAAAAGTCGACAATCTGGGAGAAAAAGTGTTACGATTGACACGTTGAGTCAGTCCGATTGCCAACGAAACGACATTGATGTATGCAGCAATCGTGACACTGATGAATGAAGACGATATGACATTGCCGTATGCGGATGATGTATGTACGAACCTTCGATCTAATAATAGGCGGAGGTGGCCAAACGGGGTAACTGTCAAGAGAAGCGGACATAGGCGACGATTTCAACAGGAATAAAATAAAACAATCAAAAGCGAGACCATTTCGAAGTCGATAGATTGGATGTTCAGATAAACGATTTATCAAGGAGGCGTTCTTTTCTACTTTGTTGTTTGTCCAGTCGGAATCGAGATTTGAAACTGACGGCGTCTCTTCTACACCCGCTGCGTCTACCTGGTAGACGTGATATTATCAAGGGTCTTTAGTAATAATTAATTTTACCACATAATTTGCTTTCATTTTATTTTTATCAAACATTTTTCTCCTGCTTTCCTTCTTTTTTTATCCTATCTAGCTATCTATCTCAGTTTTTCTTATCTATCTATCTATCTATCTATCTATCTATCTATCTATCTATCTATCTCAGTCTGATCTATCTATCTATCTATCTCAGACTGATCTATCTATCTATCTATCTATACTTTAGGTTTAAATTTATATAAAATCTTTAATGTTTTTTGTTCTTTATCCTTCTTTCTTCCTCTTTGTTTTACTTTTTACCTTTCTCATTTATTTTATTATAAATAATCTGTATTTTTGCTTAAAATATTTCCTTCATAGATTATTTTTCTTTGTACAGCTTCCAATTCTTCCACTATTTCTTCCTCTCCTCTGCCCCTGTTTGATTTTTTGTGGACTGTTTTCTCTCAGATGAGATCCATTAATGTTGTTAACGATTTTAGTTATTTCATCCACTAAGAGGTTTCATTCATTTTTATTATTGATTGTAAAATGGATTATTTTTTACTTGTAAACCAACTATGTTTATAAAATAACTGACGAAATTACAGAATTGTTCTTGTGCATCCATAATTCTTTCTGATCGTTAAGTGATTTCTATTTAACTTTTTTACAATGTCCAATTTCTAACTGCCGAACTGTGTTGATTTTCTTGTTTTAGAGTTTTTTTCCCCGCCATTTGTTCTAGATCGTATTTAACTAAGCCCGTATGTCTTTGAACATCTTTTGTCTTCAATTTTTGTCTATCAAATATTTCTTGTAATGAAAAGAATGCAAGTGATGTATCAGTTCACCCTCTTCGTTAGGAGTTAAGAAAACTGATACACATTAAGACTTAATCTGTCACTGTAAGGAGGCACGTTGGAGTAATGGATAGCGGCTTGGATTGAGGAGTCGGCGAGCCAAGTTCGAATTCCAGTCAAATCCATTACATTCACTAACGTGCTAACAGCCTTGGAAAGGTATGAATCCTCGTATTCTCCCCCAGCCATTGGTAAATAGCAGGACAGACCTGGTTCTATAGCCTTGGATGGCAACTGGCCTACCGCAGAAAGAAATGAAAGAATTGGTAACCTACTGCGGGAAGAAATGGCAAACTACTGCGGGAAAAATACATGATCGCTTAAGCGTGTATCACGCATGGCACATAACTAACTGAATCTGTCACTGTTACACAAATATTAACTTAGAATCATGTACTCTTCCCTAGTGTAATCTACAATTAAATCCCTGAAATTTCCACCCCTCTTACGCTCAAAGAGGTTTCACACAACCTTGAAGCGGCCTTTTTATCAAAATAGAAACTTTCTCGAATGGTTGGCGACTAAAATTTACCCCCTCACTTTCTCTGGTGCCAGGATGGTGGTTTGCAACCATGTAGGATAAAAAATATAGCCTATTAAGGTCAGAAGAGCTCTCGATGAGTCAACAGGCAGCTAACGAGAGTTGGTGTCTCAATGAAAATACCGTGGAGAAGGCAACCGTAAACCACTCCAATATCAATCTTAAGAATAAGCAGCTTGGCCATAAGCAGCATAAATGTTAGAGATAGCGGCGTGAAGTGGGTAAAGTCCACTGGAGATAGCTTTTTGCCCGGCAAAGGAAGACATGTATGGTAGCTGTTACCTGACCGTCATCCAGTGACTAGTGACTGTTCCAAAATGAATATAAAATGATAAGACAGTAAAAATAGCTAACAGAAATAACTATGATGTCAAGTATAAAGATGCAATTATGTTCTTTTCTGAATCAGAATTTTTGCGTTCAGTTCCACCAAAACCCAGATCTTTGGATACTGATTTTCAAGGTAGAAGGTCAGCACTTTTCCCGTTCTAAAGTTTAGTACAGCAGAGTTGTAGGATCCGATACATGTATCTATCCCCGTATCAATATTTATTCTCTTTTCTATGCCTTTCATTCATTCATTCATTCATTCATTCATTCATTCATTCTTTCTTTCTTTCTTTCTTTCTTTCTTTCTTTAAAGACATTAGTAGATATTGGTATGATGCCAACCACAGCTGAAAGCAATCAGCCCTCACTCCTCAGATACTTCTAAAATTTCTCTGCTCCCTAACCGCCCATCCTTGTCCCCCTTCTACTTTTCATTTTGAAGACATTCTCCCTTCTAACTCTGATTTCTTCTTCTTGATTACGCCTCATGTCTCCCTGACCTTGCCAATCAAGGATGTAGGTCAGTCGATCGTCCAATTGCCAACCAATTAGAAACACAATTAGTCACGTGCAAGAATCTTTCTTAATTGCGCATTTCTTTTTTTTTTTTTCTTCTTGCCGGAAATGAGTCTGTATCTCTTTCGGCAATCATTCTTCTTTTCAGATGCCCGAAATCCATTTGTCTCGATCGTTAGTTTCTTGTAGATATGTATGTATCGTTATTACTCCCTCATTTTCTATTTTGCTTTCAACAGGCTTCTTTCTTTCTTTCTTTCTTTTTCTTTCTATCTATCTATCTATCTATCTATCTATCTATCTATCTATCTATCTATCACCACTCCTCTTCATTTCCCTTTCTTTTCTATCTATCTATCTATCTATCTATCTATCTATCTATCTATCTATCTATCTATCTATCTATCTATCTATCTATCCTACTTTTCTTTTTTTTTATTTCTTTCTTTCTTCACCTCGTTTCTCTTATCTATCTATCTATCTATCTATCTATCTATCTATCTATCTATCTATCTATCTATCTATCACCACTCCTCTTCATTTCCCTTTCTTTTCTATCTATCTATCTATCTATCTATCTATCTATCTATCTATCTATCTATCTATCTCCACTTCTTTTTTTCTTTCTCCCGCAAACTTTAAAAAATCATTTTCTAATCTGTATTCTTCTTTCCTTATTGCCCTTTTCCTTTCTTAATCAGTGGCTTTTATCTTTCCTTCTCTAAATTTTCCCACAACCTTTCTCTTCCTCTCCACTTCTAATATTTTTTGGGGCTTTCTTCTTCTTTTCTCCTTCTCTCCATTTTATTACTTCTCATCCATCTTTTTTCCTTCGTTTCTTTCTCTTCTTTCAAACGTTTCTTTAATTCATCGCTCAATCGATTCATATAGGTAATCGTAATTATTATGACGCCAACCAACCTTCTTCATCTCCAATATAATGAAGATAATCATCATCGTCTGTCTCTGGCCTGATTTGACTCCGGCCATCAACTGACCTATTTATTTACCTCGGCCAACACAATTCATTTTGCTGAGTAAACAAATGTCTCCAGTCAATTTTAGATTGGTCAGTTAGATTCATCGAGAATATAAATATACTCATTATGCCCGGACCAAACTATTCTACGCATTCCAAATTTTATATAATAATAATAATAATAATAATAATAATAATAATAAAAACAATTGATCATCTTGTATCAGGGTGCACAGTATTGGCACCCACTGAATATAAAACCCGGCACGACAGAGTGGGCCAATATCTGCACTGGAAAATCTGCAACTTCTACGAAAAGGAAACTGAAAAAAATTGGTATGAACACCACCCAGACCTGATCACGGGGATAGGACCCATAACAATTTTATGGGACTACACAATACACACAGACAGAACCATCAAAGCTAATCGCCCTGACATCATTATTAGAGACCGCAAACAAAAAAATAATTCCTCTTTATTGATATGGCAGTACCTGCAGACCGCAATATATCTTCAACAACTATCAAAATACAAGGACCTTGAAATCGAAATCTCAAAAAAAAAAAAAAAAAAAAATATGTGGCACACGAGAACATCAACAATCGCTGTTGTAGTTGGAGCCCTCGGATTGGTTGGAAAAAAATTCAATAGGCTCATTGAAGGGATTGCAGGAAGCCCATGTCTTAAAGAAATACAAAAAATACAGCCCACAACTTACAAACGGCTTTATCTATGAAAAATATTTTTTTTTAACAGTGAAAATGTCATGATGCCATTTTTGACCTTAGATCTCTGGACGGCACCCGGAAAGAAATGAGTACATACCAGAAATCAAAGGAAATAAAACAATAATAATAATAGTGTTGGATCATTGCTAGAGCGGTATCAGGTGAAGTAAGAATGGAAAAGGAGGAGGAAAGGTATCAAGGTATTACATCTCATTTTTTTCATGAAGTAGTATTTATATAAAATACAGATTTTATTGTGACATAATTATAATGATAATGGATTATATGCAATATAGTTGAATAATTCAACTAGAAAAAATGAGAATAAATACACTGTATCTAAATACAAATTAGAGACATGTCATAATAGATCATTCCATATTAAATAAATCAACAATGTTTTGTAGCAATTTTTAACATCAACTTGAGATTTTCTTTTTAAAAAGTTGAATAATTTTAGCACATGGATAAACAATACAGAATTTTATATAGTGTTTTTTGGGGACTTAATATGAACAAAACAAATTCACAGATTCAGACAAAAATGTCACTAAAATGAGGTCAAAATCCGTAAACGATTTTTCACTCTTTAATAGTCAGTTGTGATTAGTTTAATTTGTAACATATATTAATGGAGGTAGAAAAAGAAAATGTTGTTAAGATAGCGATGGTCACAAAGCACTGCCCGGGGCCCCCAATTAGGCTTGACCATTTCCTATGACACGCCACTGATTGTTAAATTATGGTTTTCTGTTCGTTTCACTGCAATTTTGGGCTTCTGTATATTCTTCGCTTACTCTGTCTGTATTTACATTATTTACACGCGGACTATTGTCCTCATCTTTGTTGTTATTATCGCAACATTTCGACAGTTTTGCCCTCCGGACTTCATCAGGTGCTTGTCGATCAGGGGAACCTGCAAGAAATTTCGAACTAAACCCTTTATTTAATCTAGATTGTAGATTGTTTTCGTTCTACTGCCCATGTCTTATTTAGTGTTGCTCAGTTACTGCTTGTTCCGTTTTCACTGGGTCCGAATACACACTGCCTGGTCCAGGGATTGAACTCACAATTACTATGCCACCAAATTCACGAAGCAACGCTTTAATCAATGAGGCTATTGCCCCGTGGGCCTAGTAGAAATGCGGAGAGTAATAACTAACTAGAAAATATTTGGTAAAAAGTCGATTAGCAAAAAGGCGCCGATTGTTGGAGAATTTAAAAAGATTACTTGGTTACTTATTTTGGGATACCATTTTACTTAACATTATTGCCACATGATGCAAACACTAGTCAGTACTTTCTTTGTATCACATCCATTCCGGATATTGACGATCATAGCTCTCCACAATCTCTTGTCCCTTGTAGAATTTTTTTTTTGCTATCACTCCTAAACACTGTGCTGCCAAACATCTATTTAAACAAATTAGCCATAAATAATCAACATTACGTTTTTATAGCCATCTCTCATTTATATTATGTCAACCGAAGACCGTTTTTACATTTATACATATAGTGAAGTAATCGTTTTAACTAACACATTTTTTTTACAATGATGCTTGCACTGCACAAGGCTCAAGAGCCAGTCGAGGCAGAAGATTATAGAGTAAGAAGCACAGTTTTGGGGGATATGTGTCGAAAATAACGGTTAACCCTAGACTTGAACAGGTGAAGACTGTAACGATCGGTGAAGCATTCTCTTGGGAGTCGGTTCCACAAAGCAGCGGTTTGTGAGAAGAAGATGTTCAACTGAGTGAAATAATTTATGAGAGGGTAAATATCTAGATAAGTTCTCCTGACGTCTGTTTCGTAGGGAATATGTCTAATTCGCAAAATGATTTAAGCGCTTTTGCCCCATATTTTTGTATTTTCCATGATAAAAGAAAAATAGAAAAAAAAACCCAAACAAAACAATTGGCAATACTAAATACCTAGCCTATTACTTTTGGCACATCAATGTATTTGTACGTGTATGTATTTGTACGTGTATTTATTTGTACGTGTATGTATGGCTGGCCACTCGTATTCGAGGATACCTGTCTACTAAAGCGGCTAGCCAATCCCTATTGCAGACAATTTCTCAGGCGTATTTATGTTTATTCAACACTCACAGATCCCACCTGTGGTTTATACTGCAACTATGCTGAGCAGACCTTAGTTACAGTTTCTGGAAAAGAGCGTGTTATTTGGCGTGATCAAGAATTTGAAAAAAGACAAGCACCTCAGACCCTCGGCCACGATGACTTGTGACTACGTGCTAGCACAGCTATCAACGACTTCTAAGGGTTCTGTCTACCCAATTTCCCTCACAAGGTCAACCAGTGGTATGGTTTTCAGGTGCTTTCCAAAGGTGCCACACACTGGGATCGACACCTCCCTTCCGATAACATCAGGAAGTCTCCTTCCTGACAAATAACCATGGTGAGATTCAAACTCGGGTCTCATGGTCAGAGTGCAGACGTTCTAACCACTTGGCCATTAGGCACCTAACTTATCACTTTTGGCACATCAGTTGTTTACGTAGGTAATGTCTAGGCTAATTCTGTAGCATCTTATTTCTAATCTTAGGATTCTTCGCAGTAATTATGCTGTTAATATCCAAGAATCACAGACCGACTGAACAAGTCAATGCATGCAACAGTCTGATCTTCGAATTTAGGTAGATATTCTTGTCTTTCCAGATAGTTTTGTGACAGCTGCTATTGTTGATGCCACTTTTGAAATGATTTCTATTCTGGATTAATTTTCGCTGATAATCGAGCCAAAATATTTGAATTGGCTATTTTAAGTTACTGACCATCGATTTTCATCTTGGTTGAAAGCCTTTTCTCATTAAAAAAATTATTAAATCCTCAACTAAGCAAAATAGAATTGATTTTTTAAAAGTAATTTGAATCAAGTTCTAAAAGAAATAAAGTCGACAAAACATTTTTGCTATCCTTTCTGGATGTAGAACTTTACAAGAACTCTAGCTTTACAAAAGCCACATCAGACCGAAAACGGAGTGATGCTGCCAAACATGGACAGCAGCTGAATAGTATTACCACGTCTTTAGGGGGGGGGAATTATTTTCTACCCTACAACCCTTTTTCACACAGACGAAACGTTGCAAGTCTCTTGCTTTTCTATCGGTATTTTCATGGAAAGTATTCAGTCTCACCAGTCCTAATCTTCACAGCTAGGACCCACCATGTCACGCGCATTGTAGCGAACCACTCTGATTCTCTTTGTATTCCATTGGTAAGTTGCAACTTTTTATCTATTATTTTTTTACGGCTTATCAACCTTTTGCAGGTTACTTAAAGACGAAAAATATTTTTGGATTGTAAGAATTTGGGGGAGATAATAATGATTTTCTGATACAAGTCTTACTGTTTAACCCATATCTGGGACGAGAAGAGCTGGAATCATACCTTTCTCAAGAGTATTTGCATATAAGTGAATAAAAATAATTTAACTGGAATTCGAACCAGGCTCTCTTATTTCTCATCGCAAACATTTATCTACCACACCATCCGCACATCCAACCTTACAGCACATGGTTTTACCTAGCGGTCACCCATCTAGGTTCAACATTGCTTAACTTCGGTGATCGGACGATAACCGGTGTTTCAACGGGGTATGACCGTAAGCCAAGTTCAACTCGAGAAACTTTTTCCTCCCGAACATCTTCTCTGTGAAATCGATTCCCAAGAGGATGCTTCCCTGATCACTACAATTTTATCCTGTTCAAATATAAATTTAACCATTATCTTCCTCACACATACCCAAAAACCGTACCTCTTACTCTGTAACACTCTACCTCAAGTGGCTCTTGGGCTTTGTACCATGTCAAAATCATTGTTAAAAAAGAACTACAAAGCTACAAAAAACTACGAAAAAACTTCAAAAACTAAAACAAAAATAAGAATTACAAAACGTTTTACCTTCCATCATCATGGCTAATGCTAACCATCAGGGAGTAACTTATTGCACCTTCTCGGACTAACGTTTTTCGCTGACATGAAAGAGAATATTGAAAAAATTGCTAAGTCTGCATCTAGGAAAGCTGATTTCAAAGAAAAATCTGCAATGTTATTGGTCTTGAACTGGCATCTTGACTTCAGTTCTTTTCCTACCGCCCTAACATAGCTTTCCTGTGCCTTTTCTATAAATAATTATTTTGATGAACTTACCTTTTTGGCAGTTAAACTTTATGAATGTGTTATGGTCCGGTTCCTTATACTACGGTGATAGTCCAAGGTAGAACCAATAAAGAAGAACTCGAACACAGGTATGGAATAACACAGATATATTACAAACAGGAATACATACAGAGAGGTAGAAAAGTGTTAGTACGAACAATCAGGTTTAGTAGTAATTGTCTGAACGCCACTCTGTTTCAGACTACCTATGACTCGACTGACTGACTCGCTCGCTCTGACTGACTGACAGACTTCACTCCAGACTTCAGATTGAACGGTATTTAGTCACCCCCCCACGAGAGCATCATGTGGCACAAGGCCGGTTTAGAGTGGGATCTCCGAGCCCGTGGGCTCGGCCAAAAATATGCCCATTGAACCCGTATAAACGGGTTCAGGGTCGGTTTACCTCCCCGAAAGAGACCCCGCCCTTCGGCGTAGCCTCGTTCGGGTTCCTCCCCGCCCGAAGGAAGAGAGTTCAACCGATCAGCCTGTCGCCCGACTTCAGACTGAACAGTATTTAGTCACCCAAGGGCACCATGTGGCACAAGGCCAGTTCAACCGATCAGCCGGTCAGCCGGTCGCCCGACTTCGGACTGAACTCTCTGTTTCCTCTTGAGGCGCAGTATTTATTACGTATGGAATAGTCCATTATGTTATTATGGGTAAGGTACCCTAACAGAATGTAAGTGCAGTACTAGATTGGTGGAAAGGTCTCATCATTTTACACTTGAAATGTCTATATGTAACCGTAAGTTCTATGTTAACTGTTTCTTCTATTGCACTTCATGCTTCTGGAACTCTCTCCAGGCTTCTTGCTTCCCAGTCAACTTTGATCTTTAAAAATTTAAATTCAATGTCAACTTTTATCTTCTTTCTTCTTCTTGTTCTTTTATTGTTCTTTCTCCTTAATAGTATATTTTTCAGTAGCCTTTTATGTCTTAGTGGCTTTATTACCTAGCGGGGGTAAAAAAAATCCCTAACAATTTTAAGAAAATAGTTTGCTTTTCGTACATGAAATGAATTCCTTAACCTGCTTTGACAACGAAAGCCTACCACCCACTTCTGATTTTATCTTAAGAAGCAATCGTGATTAAAATGTTTCGCTAGAGGACATAGAAACGTATATTCAGGATTCTCTTAAATAACGCAGAATAATTATAAGTTGCCGCAACTGTCATTAACATTTTTAATTAATTCTGGTGATAATATTTGATAGAATTGTTCAAATGAATGATTCTAAAACGAACTCTAACACTGGACATCAATGAGAATCGCCTACAAGAATAGGAATAGATGTATCTTTTGTAGCCTCATCGTCTTTGTTTAATTAATATACCCAAATAAAAAAAACGTCCATAATGAAAATAGAATTCCGCATTCTTTCAAGATGAGGTGATGTGCTTAAACACAAAATTCAGGCATGAAGATTTCGGTTAAGCAAGAAACAGACTATCAGCACCTTGTTGATGATCTTTCTCTTTCTCTTTTTCTCTCTCTCTCACACATATGTATGTATATAATATCATAAATAAAATATAAGCTGCACACTCTAATATATATATATATATATATATATATATATATATATATATATATATATATATCGATTGTATAAAGGTCTAAAGCATGTTTGCTCATTCATAGGAATATTTTTTGTTAAACAAAAAGTTTATTGTTGCAAGAAAGGAAAAAAAAAAGTTTATGGAAAATAGGAACTAAAATGAATTTTAAGAGTTTCTTGGGCGCACAATAAAGCAAGAAGGCTTGGAGAATCTAGTCGTCTGAGGATCGAGAGAATATGAAACTTAAATAGCGATTCAAGTTGTCCTTCGTTGAGTGTTGACACTGTGAAGTGTTTTTGGGTCTGTCTAGATATTCTAGGCGTTGAACACTTTAATTGACTGCGGACGTAGGTCTTTCATTATTTTAGAAACTAAAAGCAAATTGAAGAGTTCTGGGGCACATAATGAAGAAAGAAGGCTTGGAGAATCGAAAACTCATGGGTCATAATTAAGCCAATAGATGTAAGGAAGAACATCGAGAAACCTGCATGACATGTTTGTATGACTGGATGAAGGACAAGGCGAAAGAGTTATGGTAAAGCGTCAAAACAAAAACAAGAAGATGTGGAGATCTATGTCCACGTTTGAAATGACTCAACATATAAAAGAAGTAGAATATAAATTTACAGAGGACTAGTTGCTTGTACGTTAAATGTTTTAATGCTCATTTACATATCTCAATTGAACAAATGCGAAAGCAGAGATTGAACCTAGGATCTCTTCTTTTTCAAGCTTTTGTGAATATTAAGCTATGCTCTATATCAGGATAGCCTAAGGGTGGTACTAGTAACCTGCTGCATAGCCGAGTCATCGGCGAATCACCCGGTTTTTGGTTGGCTAGGCTCAGCAGGGTTAAAAGGGCAGATGATAAGTCAGCGGCCATCTTGCATAATGGAGTAGACCGAGCTTCATAGCTGTGCACGCAGCCAGAGAGATGATGACACGTATCGCCGAATGGAGGGCTTCCACGACAGGGTGAATGGTTCCCCGAAGAAAGCAACAACCAAGTGTCTGTGAGCCTTCAAATTGGAGGATATCGGATGTGGCTTAACCTGGAGAGTGATGAGCGCCGCCAGGTCTACATGTCAAAAACACGCTATGCATGAATTTATATCACTCCAATTTTCAACCCAGGTGTGTGGAGGGAATTGGTCAGGTGCTCAGCTGCGCAGTGATCCAACAGCTGGCCACGGGACAGACAATGATGATGACGATGCTACTCAGTATTATTTGTGTAAAAAATGTTACAAATAATTTCGACAACTTGGGCCCGAAATGCAGTTGCCTTTCAAAATTTGACAGGAAAATTTGTTACAGTTTTGACTTTCTTGATGTCAATTGAAATCATTTGATGTCTCTTCTTCTTCTTCTTCTTCTTCTTCTTCTTCTTCTTCTTCTTCTTCTTCTTATTCTTCCTCCTTCTTCTTCTTCTTCTTCTTCTTCTTCTTATTCTTATTCTTCTTCTTCTAGTGTGTTCACCACATTGGCAAAAAGAAAAACAAAAAACAAAAAATATATATTATTAGAACAGAATATTAGTTTAAATCAGGGTGATTGATTGAATTCAGAAATGTACTTCTGTTGAATTGGCTCTACTTTTCAAGATATTTCAATTATCTAATTTTCTCCGAACATGCTAGATTTGCTCTCTCTACTCGTCGCGTTGTTTATGTTAAGGGAGATAACTCTACCTTACTTTCGCAGAGAATATTTTTGGACAGGGAGAGAAACAAGATGGCTGCTGCTTAAACACATGCACATGGATTGATTTTAATCCTTTTCCATCCACCTGCATCAAGTTAGGTGAAACAAAAAATAAATATTGATTGTATTTAAAATACAATTACTCTTTTATTGTATTTTTTGTTCATTCTATTAGCCTGGGATATAAAAGTTTACATTCTTTAAAATTCAGGATTTGTGTATCAGGTTCTGCTAGTGACCTAGATTCTCTCTATTTCACATATACAAAACGTTAATCATAAACTCTGTGTCATTCTGTGTTACATATATGGTGAATATATGGTAAAAGGACATCAGTTCAATGTTTGAGATTTCACTGGAAGAGAATATCAAGCTTACTTTGGTGTGAAGAATGGGGATCAAGATAAGTCATGGGCTCCTCACAAAGTTTATAAGAATTATACTGAAACCATTTGCTTGTGGATCCAAGGCAAAGTCAAGTCAATGAAGTTTGGGGTACCAGTGGTGTGGTAAGAGCCCCCAAATCATTATGACGATTGCTACATCTGTATCGTGAACATGTCAGGAGGCAACTGTCACAAAAAGTAGTCACACTATCCTGATATTGAATCTGAAAGTTCAACATTGTAATGGTGTTCCCATTCCAGTTTTTACTTCCTTGTCTGATTTTGAGAAAGATCATGACGCTATGAATATTTCAAAAGCAATGGATGAAGCTAGCAACAGCAGTTGTATTTATCATTTGAATTTGGGAGATTTTCAGGCTGTAAAAGTGAAGCTTTTCACACAGTGTGAACTGAATGACTTGGTTAGAGATCTAGCTTTATCAAAAGAGGCAGCTGAGATTTTGGGCTCCCATCTCAGTGAGCATCGTGTTCTGGATTGTGAAGCTAAGATAACATTTTGCTCTAACAGAGACAAGGAACGTGTTTGTTATTTTGCAATATCAAATTTTTATCAATGGGACTGCCTAAGTACAATCCAGCTGAATGGCATTTATTTATTGGTAGCTTTAAACAAAGTTTGAAGTGTGTATTGTTGCACAATGGTGGCAAGTTTGCTTGTATCCCAGTTGACCTTGAAGGAACACTACATGAATGTAAAGATTGTTCTACAAAAACTGTGTTATGATGAACATAAGTGGATCATAAAATAGTTAAACTTTTATTAGGGAAGCAAGG